ACACAAAGATGTCGCTAAAAAGTAAGGCTGCTCTCAGGGAGGACAGGTCAGCAGGGTCACCAGCCCAGGGCAGAGAGTAGGAAATGACTGAGGGGTGAGAAAGAAGCCAAACCTGGTCCTTATTACACCGAACGCTGCTCTCCTGTGCCAGCTAATGCACCCCGGGGCGGGGGGGTGAGGCTGTTGCAATGCTGCGTGGTCAGCAGGACGAGTTGCAGGTTAGAAATTGCCTCCCCTCGGCTCAGGAGGTGTTTGGAGATCAGTTATCACCTGCCAAGGTGGAGATCCACAGGGAGCGATCCCCTCCTTGGTGAGGAGCCCCTGTCCTGGACCTGCTGCTTCTGGCGGTGGAAGCATTGGGAGCGTCTGGCAGCCACGGTGGCCAGCAGCCAGGAGAGCCCGGGGCTGTTTACAGAACCTCCAGGAGCCTCCGGCTGGGAAGTCTTCCTGGCCAAACCAGAGGGACGTGGACCACAAGGGACCAGCCAGTATTGGATCATCGCTGGGTCTGTCGCAGTGCACCGGCGGGGAGTGGGTTGGTATAAACCATTCGGGCTTTGGGCAAGGCTTGTGGTGAGGCTTCCTGAGGAGCCACGTCACCACGGGAGAAGGCAGAAACCAGCCGGCGCCTGCGATGGACCCTCAGGTGCAGCACTCTTGGTCCCTTCGTTCTTTTCCTGGAAAGACAAGGAAGGGCGATGCTTGCGGACAGTACAACCGTGGTGAGCTGAGGTCAGCCCGTGCTGGTCCTTGAGGGACCGCGGCTGGGGAGAGACGGAGAGACGTGTGGAAGAGCTTCCCCAACTTCATCCAGCAGCAAAACAGGTTGAGGAGGTTCCTTCCTGCTCGCCTTGGCGCACTGCTCTCCACACCAGAATGGGAAAAATAGTGGGTTTTAAACCAGTCTCCGGAAGGATGGCGCGCTAGGTCTGGATTATTTTCCCGATGCGGTTTTGAGCGCAGCCCTGGGAGCGGCTGAGCTGGGCAGCGGAGGGACGTGGATGGAGATCGGCTCAGGGACGGTTGCGGTGCCCCGTTGAACACAGAGAGGCTGGGCCACAGGTCGGAGGCAGCGTGGAGATGGCCTTGGGGGCAGGATGGGTGCTGACCTATTCCAGCCTGGTCAGTCCCATGCCTTCGGGTGGACTGGTCAGCATGTATAACACGCTCCAGGACTGGGAACCGGTGTGAGCCAGGTCCCCCCCAGGCTGGGGTAGGATGAAATCTGTCTGTCCTGCTGGAAACACCAAAACACCCACCCTCTGGGGACACCTTCCCCTGGGGATGCACTGAATGGAGCCTGGGCTGGCCCTGCTGTGGGCAGGGAAGAGGCTGGTGGCCGCAGCAGGCGTGGGCTGCGCTCCCCCTCGGCATCACCTGGGGCCTGGAGCATCCCTGGAGAAGGGCAGCGCCGCTCGGGATGGGGATGGACCAGCTCTGGGCTTGCCCCAGGAGTGAGACCACGCTGGGATAGCCCAGAAAACCTCCTCCCTGAGCAGCCTCGGCGCTGAAGCCCGGCTTGTGGTTACGTCTCGGGGTTTCCTTGTGCTCCTGGGGGACCTGGATGCTTCAACTGGTCTGTGCCTAAGGGGGACAGAGCCTCCAGAGACAGCGGCTGAAGAAGGAAAGGTCGTTACCTCCAATTAACCGGGGAGCAGAAAGTTGCCCCCGGTTAGCACCACTTGCACGGGAGCGTGCAGCACACCAAGGGGCCAAGCTGTGGCACGGGTCACCAGCTCGCGTCTCTAACAGCCCTGCTGGGCTCTGGGTGGGCACAGACCCCCCTGAGAAGCTTTCCCCATGCTCCTCAAGCGCCCCCGAGGGTCACGCACCCGAGGGGTGGAGCAATACTGGGATACTGGATTTACCAGCCCTCCTCCCACTCCAGGCAGCCTATAATTAAGCCATGCACATAATGAGTTTTGGCAAAGTTGGGGTGGCATCACGCTCCTCCCTCCTGCCCGTGATCCCGGGGGACTCACATATAGCAGAGAGCACCAGGGAGCACCATCATTCCCAACCACCTCTCCGGGACGCTCCGAAACACCCAGCCGGCCGTCTGCGGGATGATGAAGACCTGGATCCTCCTTGTCGGGGCAGGAATAGCCCTGGGCTGCGTGGCTGGCAGTGAGTAATGGAGCCTTGCTTTGGCAGGGGGGCTAAACCAGCCTTCGGCGCATCCCATGGGAAGGGGCCAACGGTGGGGGGGCAGCAGACGGCGCTGAGGGCGCTGCCGTACTGGGGCAGCTGGTTCCTTGCGAGGTTGGATCCGCAGGGGAAAGGGTGAGGGGTGTTTTCATGCTGGAGGGCTTCCTCAAGCTCTGGGGCACTTTGGCTGGTGATGAGGGTGGATTCTTCTTCTCTTTGATGGGTTGAGACTTCCCCTGGTCTTTAGCCTTGCCCACCAGTTGCTTCCTGGTGCATCTGGCTGTGTTGTCAACGTGGAAGCCCGCCTTCCTACAGCTCCTCCATCCTCCCGCGCCGGAGGGGGGGAGGACAAAGGGAAATGTTTTTCCAATACCTTACCCATAATCCCCCCTGTGGCCGCTGGAGCTAAGCAGAGGAGCCAGCCAGATGGAATGGAAAACGCAACGTGAACTCAACGTGTTTTGCCCTTAACGACTTACGAGAGGAGACAGGCCTGGAGAGACGGTAGAGAGCAGCTCTGTCTTTAAGGGAGATGCTGCAACAAGGAGTGGCTTGTGGGCATCAGGTTCTGGCTCCCGGTGGTGCAAGTGACGAGGTAGCCTCCTTGCCAACTTCTCGCACAAAACGTGAGCTGGGGTCTCTTGGCAAGCAGGGGGTTTCGCCGCTTCGGACGCTGCCAGCAGGCTGGTGTGCCAGGAGCCGATGACTCCCCTCGGGATTAACGGTGAGGAGTTTCGCAAGGCCGGTGCAGAAGGCGAGCTGCTCCCGCTGCAAACCAGCCGTCGGGTTGCCCTGAAAGAGGGAGGATTTGCCACCGTCTCGTCTTGTTTAGTGCAAGTGCGAAGTTGTTCTTGCTTGAAGGAAGACCCGGGGCTGGGAAGCTGGGCAGCTTCGCTGCCTTGTGTCCGTGCTCTGTCCTCGGCGCGTGCTCCGGACCAGAGCTATCACAGCACCACCCTGATGGACCTGTCTGAGCTGTAGCACCTCCACCCTGTAATAACTTCGCTTATCCTCAGCTAGGCAGGACAGTGATGGGAGATTTTGCCTGATCCTCTCACAGACCGCTTTCACCCGGGGTTGTACGTGGTTTCGGGAGCCGGGAGCGTGTAACTAAATATTTGGGGAGCTCAGACCATCCATAGCCCTTTTGTTGCGAGTTAATTCGTCCTTTAGACGGGCCCTTCTAGAGGCAGGGTTGGTCTTCGGTCTGTGTTTGCACAGCGGAGCGAGGTCTTGAGTCAGGCCAGGGACTCGCAGGCGCTGCTCTGACAGGAGCTGTAGCT